TTGAAACCTTCTGTCCATAATTCCTGCCTTTTTTTTTTTAAGCTAGCTCCCTGACCAGTTACTGTATTTCTGTCAGTCTCTGGGGAAACCTCGGGGTGCAGAAGACAAGATGAAGGTACAGGTTTACACTCCTCCAGAGAGGATAAACTCACTGTATTGAGGTTTATGACAGGCTGCTGAGAGGCATTTGGTTTTTTTTTTGCCGCTAGAGTTGTGGGTGAAGCAGTGAGAGTGGAACAAGCACAGCCTGGGATTAGAAATGGTCCGGATGTGGCTGTGAAGTTCTCCAAAGTAGACTGAGCTTTACAGGCATCCCGGAAGGCTTTTTTCTGCTTCCTTGAGTAGTGCCAGCAGCTCTGTTGCAGCCACTGCAGCATCTCCCCACTAGCCTCGATGAAACCCCCGGGAAGCAGTGCTGGCAGTGCGGGGGCTGTTACCTGCTGGCAGGGAGCTGACATCCAGCAGTGGTGTGGCCCAGGGGCAAGGCACTCTGCTCTGGAGAAAGGAGCTGAGCACGTGCAAAAGCGAGTAAAACTGGGGCTCCCCTGAGGCTTCTTCGTGCTATGGCTTAGCTGTGGAGACCCACACCCTAACTGGCCAGTCCCTCCACATTTTCCAGCAAGCTTAGAAGAATTCGAGTGATGTTTCTTTCTGGGGACAGAGTGGCTGGGTTTTATTAAGCAAGCTTGCAGGGGTCCCCCTGAGGATGCTTTGACCTCTCTGTCCCAGCTAACAGCCCTCTGTGAAAGGTTGTTGGACCACTTCCTACTGATCTTTTCCTTTAGCATGAGTGCACTCCTGCTGTCCAGAATTTTGGCTAGCTCTCCCTCCCTGAAGACTTGGAGCACCCATCCCATTCTGCTGTTTCTCAAGCATGGGTCGCCTGCAAGAATTCAGTTTATTTTGACAGCATCTGTCCTCTGAGGGAGTCTGAGAAACTACAAACTGACATTTGCCGTTTAATTATCTGCTCCTTTGAAAAACTAGACTTTTTTCTGAAGAAAACATATGACCCTAAGTGTGAATACTTCAGGAGGCATGGGTTCAAACCGGCTCCTTGTGCTCAGACTGACCTGTTCCTTGTCACAGCAGCCATGGACAATGTCATCCCCTTCCACTGGGATGGAGCCTAGCTCTCCAGTCAAGCTCAGCTGCAAATGATGGTGAAAGAATAAGACTTTGATGCTCTTCAATTAATGCTCTCTCTGACATGTAGGTATGAAAATAAAAAAAAAAAAAAGGCTCCAAGAAGAAAACAGTCTGTCTCAAAAAAGGCCCCAAGAGAACCCAGTGAAAGGCCCCAGTGAAATTCAAGAGAGGATACTTCGGTGCTTTTCTTCCATGGAGAAAGGAGAAGCATTTTCTTCCAGCTTTCATGACTCACTATGCTTACCTAAAAACCACTGGGATTTTTGGGAGGGCATTTTGAAGGGAGCTCATGGCTGAAGCTGAAATGAGAGAGAAACTGTGCTTCAGGAGAGGCGGCAGCTCTTGTCAGGGGCCTGCCTAAAGGCACCTCTCAGGGCTGAACTGTGGGAACAGTGTCTCCTTGCAGATGTTGCCCCGCTGCCCCCGTTCGCACATCCAGACAGCAGAGCGGAGCAGAGGCAGCTGGGCTGACATATCTGTCCTTGGCAGCTCCCGCTGGAGAAGCAGGAACCCTGCGGTCTTAAGCATCCTGCTGCTGTTCAGGTCAGTGCTGAGACATGGACTCAGCAACTTCCCTTCTTGTGCTAGCCTGAAACCACCACGAGCGCCGTATCCTGGGCAATCTCTGCTCCCTAAGCGAGGAACAGAAAGCCAGCAAGGTGGGACACCTGCAATGACCCACGCCAGTGCCTTCTGCAAGGTCAGCAGAAACTGGTCCTGTGTGTTGGCAGGAGGTCTGAGCGGTGAGGGCTGCCGAGCCCAAAGCAATGCAGCCCCATAAATGTTATCTAAAATTCACTGAGAGGCAAATGCAGCCGCCCCGACTCCCGACCAAGATCTGTGACGGAGAGAAGTAGGCTTGATCAAACATGTTCAAACAGGCAGAAAGCACTGCAGGAGTGATGCATAAATGGGCAGGAGCTTGATGCCTCTCTGGCCAGAGCATAATCAAGACTGAAAAATAGTGGGTATGTGTCTCATGAGGAATGTATGTACAGCTGGGCTGATTTAAGGGGATTGATGCTCTGAGTGTCACCCTCTCCAGCAGTGACAAAGACCAGATACGTCAAAGGTGGTGGTTAAAGCCCTCTGAGGGAAGCAATTATGAAATGAGATGACCTGGATGCAGATTTCTTTGCCCTTGAGCTGAGGGAGAAGGCTTAAGCAGGAGTTTTATATCCCTTTCAATCTTGCTTGTATTTAATCTTTGCTAATGCAGTTTGGAAAGCACCATGACTGTTTGTCCAGGCCTTTTCTGGGATCCTGGTTTCAGGGCATGCTGACCTCTGCAAGGCTTGGGTGAGTGGTGTATTGAAGGAAGAAAAGGAGAGCACACTCTCTTGATTTGAACACTGGTAAATCAATGGTCTTAAACTCGAGCTCTGAACTCATAGTGTCTTCATTCTCTCCCTCTCTTGCGGTCTTTTTTTTTTAATATTTCTTGTTTGGATGAAATCTGACAAACTTATCCTTAAGCCTGGATCTGGAGTTTCTTTAGGCAGTTCCTTTTAGTGCTCTGACAGCCTAAATAGATGTTAAGTTCAGCTGTTCCAGTGCACAAGCCAGTATCTGTAATTCTCATCAGTGCTGAGCACTTCTGAAAATCAAGTTATCCCTTTCAGATTCCAAGACAAAGGTCTTGCAGCCTCTCTTTGTGCGCCTAATTCTGATAAATGCTGCCCTGTACACTGAAACCCTGTTGATCTAACAGTTTATTTCTGCCTCTTATTGGGCAGTGCTGTGAACCAGACTCTTCTCCATTGCTTTACGATGAGGTACAGGCAAATACAGACCCTTGGAACATGTATTTGCTGGCAGGGATGCTCACTGCAGCAGATGTCTGTGAAGTCTCAAAGAGCAAGGCTGAGGTATGGAAATACTGTGTCCCAGACGTGTATAGATCAGAAATTCCTGTCTGCTCAGGAACTGGACTCTTCTGTTCATTTTATTTTCCATTTCATTCATCCGTGACTGGGATTTGGCACGGGATAGTTTTTAGCCGTCCCATCCCTTCACATCCATATCTGGGTAGGTTGAATTTTTGTCTGGCTCTGTAAGCTACTCCTGTCCAAGCTGTTGCAGACAAGAGCCTTCTCCTGTGTGAGCTCTGGGTCCAGCTATTCCTTTTCTAGCCCTTCCTGCCTCCCTTCCAGTGAATGAATGCAACCCTGTAAAAGCAGGAGAGACATGGAGGCTTTTTCCAAGCTCATTTTGTCTTGCTCGTGGAAGTCATCTTTGTGCTAGAAAACCCTTCATCTATTTCATCACAGTTTTCCCGAGCGATTTGGTAGCCCGGTGTTAGCACGTCCATCAAAGTACTCAGAGCTTTAGTGATCAGTAGTTGGACCAGGGAATGGTAAATAATCTGTCCAAGACCCCTGTTTAAGATCTGCTGCCTACTTAGGACAGAGTGGCGGTGGAGTAAATCCTGCAGAACTGGTGCAGTGCAGAGAGGTAGGAGTAGAAATGGGGTAAAAGGCCAGTAAAACAGTTCTAGGGCATGGGACAAGGTAGCTGTTTGTCGATATGCTCATGGAATAAAATGTAATTATTGGAGAGGTGGAGGAAATGTATGGATTCCATCCACTGCTGATTAAAGAGCCTTGACCTGTGAATTACGCGTCCCCTGTACTTTGAATTTATGTTCGTAGATGACGCTTATCCTAAGGCATTTGATAGAAATGCATAAAAGTTATTGTTGTCCTGGGGGGGCAGAATGTTCCATTTGACTTTTTTTTTTTTATTAAGAATATTTTTGTAAGCTAAAGTCTTCAATATGAATCATGCAATGACTTGCTATGCTGCAACAACTGACTGCCTCAAACGTAGAGTGTGAATATAAAGTTTACTTAAGAATTCGTGGAGTTAATGATTTATTTCATCTGTCACTTCAAACAGAAGAATTACAGGCTTCATCTTGCCCAGCTGGGAAGACACTTAATGCCGACTGCAGATAGTTTTTGCACTACAGTTTATTGCTGATGTGTGCTTTATCTTGGGGATTTGATTTGTCCCCACCTGTTCAGAAGGGTATTTTGATCTTAGTCCTGCAGCCTTTAACTCCTCTGAGAAGCTGTACCTGTCTTCTGTCAAATTGCTTCTTGCAAGAAGGGAGCAGGGTGAAAGCGCTGGTGGCACCAGACCTGAGTGGGCAGGGGTTGCCCAATTCACCTGTCCATCCTTCCCCGCCCAGGACTAGCTGGCTTCACCACTCTGTGCCTCCTCCCTGCCTCCTGGCCAGATAAGCAGGTTTGACTTGTGTGGTATTGTTATAAAACCAGGTTGGGCTATTGTCCTGATCTAGACAGCGGTGGTCAGGCGTGGGCTGCCCAAGAGGGACCTTTGTACTCGCCACACGTTTGCAGACCTTATCCTTTTCCCCATTTCTGAGCATTCCTTGTTCCTTCCTCCCTTTCTCTGCCCCAGCCGCTCTTCAAAGAAACAGCCTGCCCCATTTATGGTTTTCCCATGGGTCCCAGTTTTGTGACATACATATTCAAATTTGCTATTTCTGATACTATTCCCTTGACATTTTTAACCCTAACTGGTATTACTGATACAGTTGGCCAGTGCTGCTGCCCTTGCAGTGGGTAAGCCGGCTAAAGATATAAGTGGCTGGGTGCTCTGACATCACTGCTTAATACTGAAATGCTTGGCTTCAAAGACAGAGAGGCAAGCTCTTCAAAAGCATTCTGAGTTGTTGCATGGCTGCTGTGGATGATCTTGGTGGTGACACAGTTAAAGGAATGCTTTGAAAATCCTTCCTGACAGTGCATCTGTAAGGATTTCATGTTCCTGCTGCTGTTTTTTCACTAAAAGGTAGATAAGCTTTGTTTATTTTGACTCTACAGGCAGAAGCACTTGTGTGGGATAACGATGTATCGGCTCACGCCCAGAATGTTGCCAAGGCCAAATATGAATTTTTATTTGGCTTGGAAGAAAAGAAGCCTTCAGAAATGGGTGAGTGCTATTTATTACTATTGTATGCAGAAAAACCCCCAGAATTCTTAAGCCCCTCAGGAAAGTTTTGCAAAGAAGCTTCTCCCTTAACGATCCCACGAGGGCTTGCTCACTGTTGCTACGCTGCTCTTCGCCAGACCACGGTGCAAGTACCAGACCAAGGGATCCTGCTGGTTTGGCCTCAGAAAATGACAGTGGTTCCCTGTCTTACAAACCCACATTTCTCTTTGGCTCATGGGGGCCACCTTGGTGTGACAGCAGGGGCTCGTGACACGCTGGTGGAGGGAATCCCTTCGCTCCTCTGCAGCAGAGTCGCTTTAGCCGTGAGCTCTGCAATTGCACATGCTGAAACACGGCCATCTCTGCCTGGAGGTCCTTCCAGGAATGCCCTGCGTGGTCTGCACGCTGCTTTTCCTACAGCTAGAGGTAGGTGAGATTTTAATTTAGATACTTGAGGTGGTACCTGAACTGCTCTGTCCTCTGTAGTTAGGAATTCAAGAAATCCAGGTGCAATATCTAATGTTACGCCTAAGGATTGGTCTTGTTCCTGTTCTTTTCATGTAAATGCAGGGCAGTTTCTACCTTTTCAGAGCCCAAGCTTAGAAGAAAATAAATGTAGTTATTGTAACTATTTCTCTTGCCTCATCATAATTATCAACAATCCCTGCCCTCTTTGCAAAAGCATTTCCTCAGGCCGTTCTCTTTGTACCTTGATCCTTCCTAATTGCAAACTTTCTGGAATGTCACTTTTAATTAAAGAAGACTTCCTTCTTGCCAGAGAAGGGCAGCACTTTGTTCAGAAACAAACTGTGTAGGCTCCTCCACTTCAGTAAGACAAGGGGAAAAGAAAGAAAAAACGGCAAAAAAAAAGGGAAAAAGAAAAAGCAGAACTGAAGTCTAGAAAGCGAGTAAACATTTTCTTCCTGGATTTTATAAAGTTTGGTCTCCCCCTTGGGAAATACTAATTGCAAAGGGAAAAAAAACCCCAACAAACCAGGCAAAATTGCAAAGGGGGAAAAAACCCCAACAAACCTCAAACCACCAAAATTTTAAATTTTAAAAACCTTTTCCAAATTGCCACAGAATGTGTGTCGGATTATCACATGAATCATGATGACCTCATTTCTTGCTTGGAGAGACACAGTGTGAGAGCCCTGTCAGCAGGCATTGGTACATATCCGGGGATCAGTATTAAATAAAGTATGCTGTGTCTGGTAAGTCCAAGTGAATCTGTTGTTATTACCAGCCAAAACAGCTATCACATGTGACGGGTATTCCGAGCTGAGTGCTGAGCCCTAAAATAAAGGGCAGCAAAGAGTAAACCAGATGTAGAGATGTTTCTGGATCTTCTCCTGTTCCTTTATTAATGAGAAACTACCATTAGGAGCTAACAATTATAATGCAAAATGGGTGTGACTTCAAGGGAGGGTTTCCAAATATTTAACAGTGGTTAACACATGACATTTTTCAATTGTACCCGAAAACTGGGCGACATTGTGCCTACCCAGACCGGCCTCATTCTGTCTCAGGTTCATCCTCCTCCTCCAAGATGACTTACCACAGTGGATAAATGAGAGTGGTAGTACTGCCCCTTCTACTTTTTTTCTTCAAGTGAGCAGGCTTTAACTGGTTACTAGCTGGAGATGAATGAGGAAGGGGTGACTGAGGGCACTGTAGTACAAACCCAGGGCTCTGTGCACCAAGTGATGACTTTTTTTTGATTCGATATATGTCAAATATGTCATGACATATGTTTCTGGGGGAAGCAGCTATGCCTGAAAGTCTCTCTGTTCTTCTCTGTGTTAGATGGGAAGGAAAAAAAACACCACCAAAAATCCAAACAAACCTGCTAGTTTCTAAAGTTGCCTTTAAAAGAAAGAAGACATGCTTTTTAGGGGTCAAAGTATGAAGTACTTTAAGCAAATGAGTGACAGGGGGAGGGCCAGGAGAAGTGCTGGTGTTTAAACTTGGTCAAGAGAACCACTTGTCACTGTGGGCAGTAAGGCTGAACTTTAATTTATCTAACCCAAAGCAGTTCACCTGTGCCATGGCTGGCCTCAGAAACAGGACATAACATGTAAGCTGCTGAATGGTTTAATTACTACTGCCTTCTGGTTTATCCTTTCCCTTTCAGCCATAGCCACGTTACTGAAGCTCTGCTGGATGCTGTTGAGGGAATACATTTTTTAATTGAGTACTAAAACACTTGAATCAGACAAGCCAAAGAAGGAAGAATACTTCTGTCTACCTGGGTGGGAGATGGCATACTTTGTTAGTAAGCTCCTGTGCTGATTTTTATCTTCCAGGTTGAAGCCTGTGGTCATTCTCACAGGTGAGAGGAGGGAAAATAAAAAGTTAGATGCCTTTATAAGAGGTTTTTCATTGGTGATATTCAAGTGCTAATAAAGCTGTTGCATAAAAAAATCTTCTCATAATTTCTTTCCTTTGCTGCCCTCAGTCTGGTTTTGTCTGGGATACTTGTGATCGCTGGTGCCCTCGTGCTTTTGTCTTTACTGTGTGATGCCTCCTGTCTGGCTCCTCTCCTCTCTTGTTTGTTGCCCATCCTCCTAGCCCTGGGTGCCTTACTCGGAGCAGGAGGAGGTCCAAGCCCCTGGGACCCTCACCTCATTGTGGGAGGGTTTGGGGCCACACATCCCCCTGCAGAACCTGCTCGTGGGGCTCCTGCTTTCCACTGTGGGAGCAGGGAGGACGCACCACGCGCAGCCACGTGCCCCTGCACAGCCTGGCCACCTTCCTTGGCAAAACCCCAGCCTTCTGCCTGCCAGCTAAAGAAAATGTTTTTTAGAAACTGAATTTGTCTGGGTTGGACAAGACTTCTTCTCAGACTCATTGACATAAAGGGTGCTTGTTGTATATGGAAACATACTCTGCTCTGGAAATGCCACAGAAACAGTGATCTCTATTGAGCAGAACTTATCTTTAGGCTTGGGCGTGTTACAGTCCTGATTTTTATGACTTTGCAGTTAATATGTTTAAATACCAAAAAGAAAAAAAAACAACCCTGGCAGCATGGCTTAGTCCTAAAAAGTGCTTTCTTGGGGAAAACAGTGGAGGATGCTACAAAATAATTCCTTAAGTAAACATGAAGGCCAAATGCCCCATAATTCCTGTTATATGAGAAAATAAATCCAAGACTGTTGTTAGGAAGAAAATAGCTTCTTAAGATTAATACACAGTCTTTTCTCTGATGCTTCTGCAAGGAGAAAGCTTTCATCCCTCCTGTGTAACAGAGGGTGTAATCTCATCCTTCACAAAAAAGCCCTGTACAAATAGTGCCTGTGTTGCTATGCAAATCTGGTGTTTCCCAACAGCTGCTGGAAGAAGCTTGGTTTTGAATTCCTGGTGCAACAAATAGCTTTTTGGAAAGCCTGTCACTTGCTGTTTTGTGTTCAGTGAGGTGTCATGAGGCAACTGAGCTCATTTAACAGCTTGCTTCTGCCAAAAGAGATGGTCCCAGACACACACTGCCACGGATTGTTTCATGCTAGTTCTTGTGCTCATCTGTTTGCTTAGCAAGCTCAAGCCAGAAAAAAACTGAGTAACAAAAAACCTCTAAAAAATGCCAAAAGAACAATAATAAAAAAAAAAGGCTTACTTTCTTCTGGCATTGTGTGCTGAATCGTGTCTGGAAGGGGTCAGACAATGCCACAGCTGACACGTGAAAGAAAACCAAACACATACTTTGACCCATGCAACATACCCTTTCCTGAACCCCAATCATGGAAATCACTGCTTTTGCTGCAGAATTTCTGTAACTTGTTTCAAGAGCAAAGGAAGAACGCAATGCCTGCTTTTTTGTACGAGCAAAGCCTTTTCACGGTCTTATGATCCCGATTGGGACAGCCTTAAGAAAATTATCCTAGTATCTTTGTGTAAAATGAGCCCTCCTGACATACTAGGTTGTCCTTTGTCTTCTGTCTTGCTTGCTCTCTCTGTGCCACTTCAAGGCGTGCATGTCCAGCTCTGCTGCATCCTCCGTGCCTTAAGACAGTAGTGGCACCTTCCTGATCCTCACTCTGAAAAACTGCCCTTAGACCACGGGCACTCCTGTTCCATTGTTCTCATGACAGCCCAGGTTGCTGACTGTAGTCTTGCCCAGCACTCTAACCCCATCGCTTTCCATTTTGAGGCACCACCCTCTGTTACGCTTTCATCCCATGCTCTTTCCATCTCCAGGTCATCCTGGAAGTCTGGGCTCCCTGGTCTGGTATATTCCTCTACAGTTCTGCTGTCTGGAAGAGGTGCAAAACTGCATTCTTTGAGGGTCGGAGGACTGCCTGATTTTCACATTCATGTTGCCTAATTAGGGTGGAGGATAAGTACATCAGATGTCCTGCAGCATTTAACAGGAACACACACAAGGCTGGAATACAGAAAGCTCGGACCTGTGGTGCCCACTCTCCCTTAATTATAAATCCATCATCCTGCTGACTCTCTCAGCCTTTCCTTGTTGTTGTTTCCAGTGTCCCACTAGATGGGACATTCTCTGACACGCTGAAGACCTGCAGGATTTTTTAAATCATAGTGAGTAATCAGTAGTTTTGTTGTGGATATCCCTGATGTTTGGCACTGGTGGTTGGCAGTGATGCAAAAAGAAGGTTAACTTTTTAAATCTGAGTCTCCAGAGGTACTGCATTAAAACTTCCCAGCTGAGTTTGTGCACTGTAAGAAGTGCTTACCTCCCTGAGTTTTTGCACTGTAAGAGGTGATTACCTCCTTGGCACCACCGTGTTCACTGGCTGTGCCGGGTGTGTTCCTCTTTCACTCCAGCTTGGAGTAAACCAGGTCATTTCTGGAGAGCAGCGAGCTCTTACAGTGTTGTCAGAAGAGCACTGTCACATCGGGCTGTGCACATGGAAGAATTAATGGTAGTGCAGGAGGACACACTGCCCTGTGCTCTGCATCCCGGCTGCGTGACGGGGAGCTGTCTTGCTGTGTCCCTTTGAACTTCTGAGTCCTGCTTCCTGGGGCTGGGAGAA